TATAATTTAATTTAAGTTTAATAATAAAACAATTTGTTTTTGGTTTAATATTATAAATTTTATAAATATAATAATTAAGTATTCTGTTAGAATTTAATGATTATACTAATTATATTTTAGATTTTTTATATTTAAATGAGATGTTTATCTTGTATTTGATTGTGTTTATCTGCAGTTAGTTACATGAATTCAGATATGAGATGAAATCGGATAGGGATGAAATCGTTTAGGGATGAAATCGTTTAGGGATGAACGGGTTTAAGAGTTTTTARGAGTTTTAAGAGTTTTTAAGAGTTTTAGCCAAATGCTTTATAAGATAGTATAGATATAGACTTGGGATCATGTGAGACCAATGGTTTTTCGTGAGACCCGTAAGACCAATTCTCAGCCCTTAGATTAGAATTACTATCGTCAGATTTGAACATTCATAAACGCCACGAGACTTCTCAATAATTACAAAATTGCCACCGTGCAACTTTAAACCATTAGATCATTAGCTTATAAAGTTGATCAATGAACATAAATTGGTCTCACGGGTCTCATGAAAAACCCTTGGTCTCACGTGAACCCAATATATATATATATATATATATATATACAATTACACTATCACGTATACTATTCATATACACATAGTTTCAATCCATTCTCCATCTCTATATAACTCATTCGTATATATGTTCAGTAATTGTGAACATATATATGTAAATTGAGAAAATTAATTGAATGTGATATGCGTAAGATTTAAGAAGTATGAATAAATTGTATCAAATGGTTGATGATGAAAAAAATTATGAGTTGAGAAATAACATAAATTATTTTGCTATTTAAAAAAAATAAAAATAAAAATAAAAATAATTATATTTCTTTATAAGTTGAATCCTTTGTAGGAGGCCCAAAGGTTCAAAATGGCAGCCCAATTGATCAAGATCTAGGAAGCCCAGAAAAGTCTTCCAAGATTCGATTCCCCCATCTTCATCTTCTTCCCTAGGCCGCTGCAAACAATTTGCAGACTCCTTTTCTCTCTCAGATGGATTGGTAATTTTCAACTTAAATCGTTACATGGATGATGATACGATCAACATTCATCCTCAAACAAGCCCCTGATCAGTTTATCATCAAGTTCAAATCTGTATCATCACTTCTCTATTCCTCTGTTTCTGCTTCACCATCATCACCCATTGAAGAAGAAGAAGATTTTGCATCTCATCTACTCTCTCTTCTATCTCTACCCAATTGGCAAAAAAACCCTCGTCTCAAAGCCCTAATTCCATCGATATCCCCATCACACGCTACCTCTCTTTTCAACAATAACCCTAACTTGAATCCACAAACGGCTCTTACCTTTTTCAATCTTTTATCACAGAGATCCAATTTTAAACCCACCGTTGAGTCTTTTGCATCATTGCTGACTATATTGATCAAGAATGAGTTTCTGAATGTGGCTGAAAAGGTCCGGATTTCGATGTTGAAGGCTTGCGAAACCGAGGAGGATGCGAGGTTTGTTCTGGGGCTGTTGAGAAAAATGAATGTTGATGGAGAATTTAAATTTAAGCTTAGTATTAGATGTTATAATACATTGCTGATGTGTTTATCAAGGTTTCTAATGGTTGATGATATGAAATGTGTCTTTTTAGAGATGTTGGATGATGAAATTATGCCGAATATATACACGTATAATTCAATGGTGAATGGGTATTGTAAATTGGGTAAAGTTGATGTGGCAAGGTTGTATGTGAGCAAGATCATTCAAGCTAACCTTAGTCCCGATACTCATACTTATACGTCGTTGATTCTAGGGCATTGTAGGAATAAAGATGTCGATAGTGCATTTAAGGTGTTTGCTGTAATGCCTAAAAAGGGGTGTCGCAGAAATGAGGTTTCTTATACGAATTTAATACATGGGTTTTGTGAAGATAGGCGTATTGACGAAGCTCTAGAATTGTTCCATCAAATGGGTGATGATGGCTGCTTCCCAACAGTCCGTACATTTACCGTTTTGATATCTGCATTAAGTAGGATAGGTAGAATGGCAGAAGCATTGGATTTATTTAAAGCGATGAGTGAGAGAGGTTGTGAGCCAAATGCTCACACATACACGGTTCTTATTGATGGAATGTGTAAAGAAAGAAATCTTGATGAAGCGAGGAGGTTGTTTGATGTGATGGAAAAGAAAGGAGTGGTTGGCACTGTGGTGACGTATAATGCTCTGATTGATGGATACTGTAAGGAAGGAAAGGTCGAGAATGCAATCGAGATGTTTGAAAAGATGGGAACGGAAGGGTTGAAAGCGAATGTCCGTACTTACAATGAGTTGATCGGTGGGTATTGCAAAGGGAACAACATTCACAAGGCTATGGCATTGCTTGATAAGATGACGAAAAAGAAACTATCACCTACCATTATGACTTACAACTTGCTAATGAATGGAGTTTGTAAGCAGGATCATGTTGATAGTGCTTATAGGTTGATTGGTTTGATGAAAGAAAACGGTGTTGTTCCTGATGAGTGGACCTATAGTTCTCTTGTAGAGGCCCTATGTAGACGAGGAAGTGTAGAAGAAGCTCACAATTTGCTTGGTTGTCTTAAGGAGAAGGGCATAAAAGTAAATGAAGTTATCTACACGACTCTTATAGATGGGTATTTCCAAATAGGGAAACCTGATAGTGGCATGGCTTTATTTGAGGAAATGCTTATTGAGGATTGCTTACCTAATTCCTGCACATATAATGTGCTGATTCATGGTTTGTGTAAAGGAGATAAGATGCGAGAAGCGTTTATGTTAATGGGGAAGATGATAAAGATAGGTTTGGAACTGGAAATTACTACGTGCACGATCTTTATTGAGCAGTTACTCAAATTTTTTGACTTTTCTGACGCTCGTAAGCTTTTCATTCAAGTGGTTTCTTCCGGATTGAAGCCTGATGTTTGTACATACACTTCATTCATTCTTGCATATTGCAGTCACGGGATGATCAAACAGGCGGAAGGTATGATGAATGAAATGATGGAGCAAGGTGTAAAACCGGATACGGCAACGTATACGGTTTTTATTGATTCGTATGGACGTGCAGGACAGCTAGATTGTGCTTTTGGTGTTTTAAAACGTATGGTGGATGCTGGATGTGAACCTTCTCATCATACGTATGCTATAATAGTGAAGCACCTTTTAATTGCACAACAAAGGAAAAATGTTGAGTTTCATACAGGATCTGATCTGGATACGAACATGACCAAAGTCAACATTGGTAATGTGTGGAAGCTAATGGATTTCGATACTGCAATGGAGCTTTTTTCAGAAATGCTTAAAAGGGGTTGCAAACCGAATATCAACACCTTTGAGGCACTGACCGTTGGACTCTGTAGAGAAGGGAGGATCGAAGAAGCTAGCAGGTTGGTTGCTCATATGTTAGCAAATGAGCTCACTCCTAATGAACATATATACATCTCTTTGGTAAATTGTTTATGTTACTTGCGAATGTTTGACAAAGCATTGACACTGGTAAATACTATGGCCGAAAAAGGGTTTTTGCTTCATCTAAAGTCCTATAAGTTGCTTATTTGTGGATTGTATGATGAAAGAAAGCCTGAAAAAGCTAAGGAAGTTTTCTGCAGTCTGCTTGAAGGGTACAATCCGGATGAAATTGCTTGGAAGATTCTCCTTGACGGCTTACTTAAACAAGGCCTAGTTCATAGGTGCTCTGAGCTCATAGATGTCATGGAGAAGAAGGGTTGTCATCTTAATCCCCATACATATAAAATTTTAGTCGACCATATGGGTGTTTAAATAGGTTAGAGGCAAGAATCTTGAAAATTGATATATACTTCCAAATAAGACCGTTCCAAGATCTTGGGGAGGAAATGGTATTCTGATGCCATTTGATATTTCAACATATTCCCGTGTTTGTATCGAGTGAGGAGAAATGAAGATGCAATTCCTGGTCCCAATTTATGAGAAGAAATGGGATGGGGCCATAAAAAGGAGAATGGAAGTGACCGTGTAACATGTTCGGCATTCCAGACTTCCTCCGTAATTTCTCACCAGGATTTATCTTTTCTTGCGAAAGTTGAGGGGCTAGTTGAACCAAGTGTCATCTTGTTTCAGTGAAAGATTTCACTGGTGCAGTTGGTATCCTCAAACACATAATGTTTACAGGTAACAAGTTGTTTTTTACCTTGTATTTTGAAATTGTAGAAAAAGATTCAATAACTCTTGCATTCGTTAGTGAAGCCGATTCTAATATAATTGTGCTATACTGGTACACATAATTGCACACACACACACGCACATATGTATACACGCATATATGGAGTAGTATATTCCATTGAATCTCAAGCAATTGGTATTGTCGAAGATCTATCAGTACAAAACAACTCTTAGAATTTTGTTTTCCTTTCTTTGATAATTCTAAGGACCATGATTTTATCACACATCTATCTGTGTAATTGTTGCTTTTCTATCGAGTCCCTGTTGTTTGGTACTTCATTGTTCGTTTTCATGTTTTTGGTGAAGTTCTGCTTTGGCTTACCTACATCATTAATCCTAGTTTCGTGTTGTGGTTCCCATTTTTATTTATCCTCCCATCAAGTGAATGCGACCCACAATAATATCTACACTATTTTCCGTTCCATACAGCCGGGATTCACAAAAATGGCTTTGGGGTGCGTTTGGTATGTGGGATATGACAGTACAAAAATTTGTCATCCCACTTTTGGTGCGATTCACAAAAAAGGCATTTTTTCTGTCCCACTAAAATAGGTGGAACAAAAACCAGGTAGATCAGAAGATTGGTGAATTACCGAACTACCCATGTCAAATTAAAACCTTAATACCTTCCAGAATTCTTTTATCCTCCTATGCAAACAACTGATCTGACCTTGTAAATCTTCACTAAAATGCTTGGATTATGTTAAACAGCAGTCATTTATGTAATGAAACTTGTTACCTCCATTACAGATGAAGGTGAAATTCACCATAGCAGTTTGCTGATTGGAAATTCACTGCAAGTTTTGTTCATGATTTACCGAGGGCATTGAGGTCAGCCCGCTTGGCAATATGGGAGACTGGTTTCCTTTTTCAAATCTTGAACAAGATTTTTGAGGTCAGAGTTTGTTAAACACATCTATATACATTCTTCTGCTTACTTCTATCAAGTGTCGTAATTGTGAAATGAAATGAGAATCCTCAATGCTAATGTAATTATAGATTTGCTCTCTTTTTCTACGACACTTCATGTTAGACTTAGATGTATAAACATAAACAGAAAACATAATTTTTGTCTAGATTGCTAGTGATGTTTCAACCAAAATATGCTTATATCAATTACAAGATTGTTGACTTGCCCCATTAGTTGTTTCTGTACAACCTTATGAAATACCAACAAAGCGATTCTATTCCTATTGCTGTTAAGTTATATTAATCACTGAACTCTCTCTCTATATATATAACACACACGCACAAATTTCGTTATGTCTTCAGTAAGCTTGTCCTTCATTACTTCAGTTCTTCGGCTGATAGGAATACACAACCTGAACATTCTAAGTGTTTATATCATAAGCTTGTCAGTCATCAAATCTAACGGTTTAGGGACTCGACAATGTTCATGTTAAATTCTAGAAACTAGCAGAATAACTCAATTGAATCTTTAAAAACAGAAAGGGGTATTTAGAACGTTAATTTTTTCTTAATTCCAAGTTGTTTAACATCATAGAGGCAGGTGAGATGAAGGTTATTGAGTTACTTTTTTAGAACGTCTTGCTTCTAATCAAAAACTAATGACCCTCTTTTGGGGAGGTCGAGGGTGGGGGCGGGGAGAGTGTTAGAGGGCTAGCAAATACGGTAGGAAGTGATGTCTGCTTTTACTTGCCTTTTCCATATTTCAATGAACCTATTTTTTGCTACTTTTTACTCCTTTTCTCTTGCTTTCTATTTATTAGTTTTCGTTCTCTTTTCCCTTTTAGCTCACACTTTTGCACAAGCCGAGGTCTTCAAGGAAACAACCGTTTTACCCAAAAGGGGTGCAGGACGGGTCTGCATACATCCCCCCATGGGGTATACCGAGTTGGTTTGGTTTGGTTTGGTATGGTATTCTGGACAATGAATTTCTCGACAGTATGTTAAGACAATGTTCACATGCATACGGCTATGATAGTTCTCTCATTCATATGTTATATGTATCTCCAACAGCCATGTTGCATTTTAAGCCGACTAGGTTCTAAAATCTAGGCATCCGGAGCTTGTAATTTTCACAATTATCATCCAATCTTTATTATTCTTAGGAACCAACTAGACATTCTACATATGTTGACTTGTGTAGCAAGAACAGGTTCATACTTGTGGTTGCAGCCATATCGGTTTTGTGTGGTTCGTGTACAAATGGTGCTCGTGGTTTGGACCCAAACTTTGTCTGTGAACGTGTTGTCGAGTGGAGAGCACAGTCCGTTTCTTTTACACTTGTATATTTTTTTTATCAGTAAGGTAGTAAGAAATAAATCTTTTGCAATCGGTACTCGGGTTTGTAGTGCATCTTTACCATATTGCTATATAAATTGCATTCTTTTGGTAAGTTCTCTAATCCTCGTAGTCGGGGTAAGGTCTGTGCTCTTCTTAGCAGAACTGCACATGGTTGGTCAAATTTCTTGTAGAAATATGCATGTAACATTGAGAATAATGCTAATACCACCCTTTTTTTTACAATCGAGTAGTAGGTCGGGCTTGGTTCGAAGAAATAATACCATAATTGGTTTTTCAAAATAGTGCTCGAGTTTAAACTTGCGCAGTTTCCGAATGCTTGAGCTGGATTCCAACAATTTTGAGTTATGCGTTGTGTCTAAAATTCAAGCTTTTAAAGCTTGTTTATGGAGTTGAATTCAGATCGATTGACTTGTTTATAAAATTTAAGGTTTTTATGCTCATATATATTTTGATTTATGAATTAGGAAACAGTTTTTGCACCAAAAAGTGTATTGCTCGTATGGCTTGACTTTGAAAATTTTAATCAAGCTTTTGAATGAACCGGATCAAATACTGGTGTTTCAAAGCCCGATTTTTAAAATAAAACGAGTTTTCATTTGTTTTGGTGCTCAACTTAAGCTCAAGTTCGAGTAACTTGTTAAATGCGCGGATTATTAATATCCCTACTTACATAACATCCTTTTATGAAAAAACTGTTCATAATCGTATAACCTTAATTGGTCGAATGTAACTAGTATAGTGACGGATTTGTTTTATAACGTAAATTTTTTTATTATTTATAAAACTATAATATTTTTTTTTTTTATAAAAAAAAAAAAAGTTTTATTTGCAACAAAGATCCAAAAAATTAAACATTCCATAAATTTCCATCTTTACACTTTCTTGAAATCAATTATTTGCAACAAGAATGCAAACAAAACCTACCCACTAAAACCCTTTGATCAAAACTGGGATTCAAGAACCCTAATCTTTACACAATCAAAACCTGAAAGACTCCACAATCAAATAGTCAAATTCTCTTGAATCCCGAGGAATGACCCCACGATTTGACCTCCGACATCTGGGAACGTTTCGAACCCCGGAAGAGGTCTTACCTTTCCGCTTCTAACGACTTCAACCGGATATTTCAAAAGATGGCCGTTCAATTCGGTTATTTCATCGGCTGCAAACTGGTTCCAGTTGGCTTCAGCCATCGATCGAACCTGTCTTACGCTTTCGATGGACTCAGGCCTCGTAAAACAGTCACGGACAGTGCCGAGATGCTCGGCCCAAAGAGACATTCGATATCCGTGAATCTTGAAAAACCATCAAAAACCAATGTTTCATTGCCATTTTATGTAGTAACATGTGCACATGGTATTTGGGCAAAAAAGTTAGAATGCCAACAACACAACTGGCCCCCCACGGACCCCTACTCTAAGGACACCAACGTGAGGGGGTATTTGTTAGCTTCACTCAGCGGTTGAGTCTGGCAGTGGCCGGGGGTGGGGGCAGGATCGAACCCAGAATCTATCTTGTATTTGAGCAAAGTTGCCCCACCCCTTTGCCAACTGAGCTACATGCCAAAGGCATGTGCACATAGAATTGAAATGGCTAACGATGGTGATTAGCATTTTAAACCTTTCGTCTCGACACTTTGTTACTACACAACAAACATATGATTGGTTGTTACAAAACAAAGTGACTATCACAATGATTCTAAATGCTAATCACAGCCTAGAAACCAAACTAAACCAAACCAAACAAACCCAGTATATCCCACCTGAGGTGGGGTCAGGGGAGGCTCAAATGTACGTGGACCTGACCACTACTCCAAAGAGTAGAGTGGTGGTTTCTATAAAGACAAATATGATCAAGATTTTGAAAGTTGGTTAAGAGAACAATAATACACAAAAGAAGCCGGTACAAGAAAAGCATAACCGATGTAAGGAAACTACACTCCCACTCTCGTAGCTCGCTCTCCTATTTCTTTTTTGGTTTCACAAGTCAGAGGTCTTTATGGAAACAACCTTCCTACCCATCGGGATAAAAGAAAGGTCTGCATACATCCTACCCCTAGACCCTACCTCAGTGCAGGATTTATTGAGTTTATTTTGTTTGGTTTCAGTTGGGTATATGTGACCTTTGCAAGTATATCCAAGATGTTTAACTCTTTAAGAGTTCATGTAGGGTGTGTCCGGTATGTATACGAAACCGGACATGACTGAATGGGACAGGAACGTATGGGCGAGAGTGAGGTAGAAGGGTAAAAAGGTTTTCAGGCTTTAATTTGACATGGATATTTTAGTAATTTACCAATCTTGTCCCAGAAAAATGCATTTTGTCCCACTCCGTCTTATCCTCCGAGGCTAAATGTCACACCAATCGCGAAATAACAAGTTTTTATTCTATCATGTCTCGTCTCATTCTGTGTACCAAATGCAACCTTACAGACAAATCTCTAACACAATCAACATTAGCTAGCTAGATTCTCAGATAGAAAACCATACACATTTACAAAAATGATCAAGACACTCTAAATGCACAATGATACTCGAGAGAATCGTGAGTAAAATATTACCTGTCCTCGTGGATCGGTGAGATTTTTCGCCCAAGTATGATTAGGTTGGTAGGCGCCCATTGCAATTTCTGTATCTCGAGTTCCCTCCATAGAGCGTTGATTTATGTTTGCGGAGCCTATAAGTACATACTCATCATCCACTATCATGCCTTTCGAATGAACGTAGATCATGAATCGCCTGTTCTTACGTGCAAGTCCCTAAAAATAATCGAAATAAAACAAATTGTATAGCCATATGTGCAAAACGTTAGATACAAGTATAAATTAAACAAACCAAACCAAAAAAAACCAGTATGTTTTTACAAACTCTTGCTATATCAATAAAAACATGTTAAGTTCATCAAGCACTTGTTTATTTAGGTGCATTAAGCTATTCATTTACCAACATACATAAGACAACATCACGTTCAAAACGTCATTTATTCAAATAAGTCATACCAACGAAAATAAATAGCAAAGAAAGACGTAGGGGCTGTTTAGTTGGTTTTCCATCAAGTCTTGTATGGATAAAACCGTCTTTGTGGATTAACGTGTCTGTATAGATTGGGAAGGTTTTTGTTTGAGAGAGTTATTTCATAGATAGAATGAGCGTGTTTTTCAATAGCAACAGGCATTTTTGGAAGAAAAAAAAACTTCGCTTTATTCATAAAGCTCGCCTCTAGAAGCTCACTGAATAAGCCACTTTTTATATCATTAAGTCACTATCAAATAGTCATATATAGCTGACTGAATAAGTTGCGAGTCCCATTAAGCTCATTAAGCTGCTAACAAACAGGCCCGTAATCTACTTGATAGAGGGAGTAACCTTTTTTTTGGTGTTCAAAAAGAAGTCATGATGTCGTATAGCCAGAAAGACAAATAACTAACCTGAGGAGTATTTTCGGGACTATGATTAGGTGAACTATCAGGGCCGATGGCCTCACGATTCCCCAAACAAAAGAAATTGAGATAATCCGTTGGTGAAAACGCCTCCTCAAGACCAACCTCCACCAAAGCCTTGTAGATAGTTTGATACATCATTTGCATCGTCTTGTTCTACAAAGTTAGAATCCATAGCACTACAAATTACTCCCTCACGACGACTTTGAAGTCGAGCATATAACAATTTAGCATCAAATTTATACAAAACTTTCGGACTGAGATAAACTTTTTACCACCATTAGTGACCTTTCTAATATACATGAAAATTCATATAATATGGGATTTGAAATAATTGCCCAATTAAACCAAACCAAAAAAACTCAGTATATCCCACTCGAAAGCAGGGTTTGGGAGGGGTAGGATGTATGTAGATCTTACCTCAACTACTAAGGTTGTTTCCGTGAAAACTCTTGACTTGTGCACGATGTAACGTGTGTGCAAGTGGGCAACAAGATAAGTAATAAAATAGGTCATAAAGAAATATAACAAGTAGATTTTGGCCTAAGCACATCTAACTGTAGGAGTTCTGATGGGATCCGGTGCATTAGTGCTTGTATGATCGCACCTAGATAATTGTCATAAATAATTACTTCATCTCGACTTTCCAAAAATTAAGTCAAAGTGATTTAAGAATATTATACCTGCCAAAATAAAATCCGTTGGGTTGCAGAACCCGTTGGGACACCCTCCGGCCACATAGGGATGACAATATATACTGCAAACCTTTCATGTGCTCTAATTTTACTAGCAACCTTAAGTGCGATCTCCATTGGAATCAAATTGTTGGCACCTACGAAAAGTTAAGGTATAATCAAGAATTGTCATTTTTACATAATTGATACTCCTTCCGTCCCAAAAATAAATGTCCCAAATAAAAAAAGGCACACAGTTTTAGAAATGTGTAATAGAGACAACTGAATGACATTCTAAATGACAATTTTACCACCTAATAATAGAGAAAGCAATCAAATTCTCAATCTCATAAATAAGGGTAGAATTGGAAAGTAGGCACTTACTTTTGAAAACAAACACTTATTTTGGGACGGATGGAGTATGTCAAAAGAAATGTTCCTTACCTAAGTCTCTATAAGACTTCCAATTGTACGATGATCCAATAAAATACTGATTTTCGATATAGATGAAATGTTGTGCAGAACGGATAGCCTTCACGTATGCAGAATGTATGCTCATATCGATGAGCACGTTCTTCCCACAAACCAAGTTCTGTTCAAACAAGTTTATTAATAACATATCACCCACAAAGAAAGAAAGTAATCCTAAAGAAATTGTTTGTATCTCATCACCTTGGCTGTAGCTTCCTGTGGATCTTTTGGAAAGCCTTTAACGGAGTTTGAATCAATTGAACGAAAAATCTGCATCAGATAAAAAAGAATTCTGTCACATGAAATTTAAACAAAATATAAACAAGAGAAGTTTGATATCGGAAACTAAGTATATGCTGATTTATCTTATTTACCTGTACATGCCAACCCTCAGGGTCCTCTTCACCATCGCAAGGTTCATCATTCGCACCCAAAATTTCCGGAAACTTTTCCATCTTTAGCAAAACATCTTCGTATGCCTTCAGTTTTTTTATGCCCCGAGGCTTTGAAGCCTTTAGCCACCGCTCCTCAAAGTTGGTCATAACGTCATAAGCTGCCGGGCCATCAATTCTACTATGCAAATCATGCCATGGTTCTCTTGGACAACCAGAAAGATGCCCCTGTTAGAAACAATAATGAAAAATCTTGAATAAGATGATAGCACGTGCTATTAAAATAGTGAAGAAAACCCTTAGGGGTAACTCAACTAGTGAGGCCTTGGGTTTGCTCCCCAGAGGTCATTGGTTCAAGTCCCCTCGGGTCACCAGAGGTTTTGAACGACTGTTAACATCAGAGTCCCATAGGATTAGTTGAGGTGCGTGCAAGCAGGCCTGAACTCCCATGGATAGCAAAACTAAGGAGTTGTTTGGTTAGTTTTCCAAAAAGTCCTTAATGAATAAAGTTGTCTGTGTGAATTAATCTGTCTGTAAGGTTTTTATTTGGGAAGGTTTTTTCATTGATGAAAAGAGCTTGTGTTTTTAATTGAGGGGATAGGTTTGGAAAAAACTTGGGTTTCTACATAAAGCTCACCCCTATAAGCTTACTGAATAAGTCATTTTCTATATCATTAAGACTGTACCAAACAATCATGTATATTTGACCAAATAAGCTGCGAGTCCCAAACAAGCCCTAAACGAAACCTAACGGCTTGATGCTCATTAGTTATTTAGAAGAAGTCGAACAATTAGAAGTTTATGTCCGGGGCTATTATCCACTAGACATTTTTTTCTCAAACAATTGAAACTAAAAAGAATGAGTAAGATCTTAGACGTCACCGTGAAGGTCGGATTATGATAGTCCTTTGCATGTGTGGTACTTAAAGTCCTAAATATGGGATGTTCTGGAGTATCATATCTCCCATTGCAAAGATCAAGTCCCCCAACAAAAGATACGATTTTTCTTTTATCATCTCCAGCTTCAACATCTACAATCACAGTTTTCTGGTGGTGTGTATAGATCGTTCCAACCTCCTAAGAAACAAAAAAGTGAAGAAAATAAAGCATACAACACAACACGAAGAACAAATTATACCTCAGAAAATCCCTTGGCTACTTAAGATATTTGGAAGAAATTTTGATCCAAATGCCATGAAAAAGAAGCATGTTCTTCACTTGATAGTAATAATGCAGAATACCCAAAAGAAAAAGCTAATCTTTTACTAGCAACTTTATCGTGTTCGAAACCAAGTAGTTTGTTGATTTGTAACGTACCTTCTTCTTGACCCAGCTATGTTTTTTTCCTGCCATACGAGGACAAAGCAGCACATGCACAGAAGAGTGCTTAAAGAAACGCCGAGTCTCTTCATCATGGGTAGCCATTAGTCCATCCTGAAGATATTAAGGTGGCATTCATTTATAACACTTTCCTCAATTCTCCATTTTGTTGGTCTCATCTCCATTTCTTCAATGGGAATCAACAATCATATTCCATTTCTTCTTATTTATATCATATAAATAGGATCCACAAAATAGAAATGTTAAATGTCCAAAATGAATAACATCTAAGCTAATGTGTAATAGATATCACACATTCAAAACAAATTCTAGCTTTTCCCGAGTCATTGAATAAGTTCATTAACATTAGCCTCATTGGAAAACTTCAAAGAAAAGAAAGAGTATGCATTAAAAAGACTTGGCATTAGCAAACACCTCGGGGGACCGGAAGTTACGAGTTAAATGCCTTATCCTTCCAATAATAAAGAGAGAGACAAATCTAGCGGACCAAAATCAGTAATTCTAACTAGAAATTTGCCAAAAAATGACATGTTGCACTTTGCATGGGATATCCACCTCCCAACACACACACACACACATATAGGGTCAGGTTCTGGGGAAAACCACAAAAAATGAAAACTAAGGAACACCCTGGACGGTATGCACATGTGCATACAAGTAATTTATAAGCAATTTGTTTGGTATGCACATGTGCATAACATGCATACATGCATAAAAACCAAGAAACGGCTTCAATTACTCGTATGCATATATCGTCCAGATGAACGATTACCAGGGTGATCCTCAATTTTTCATTTTTTTTGAAGGTTTTCCTCTGAACCTCCCCCCCCCCCCCCCCCTCTCTCCCTCTCTCTCTCTCTCTCTATATATATATATATATTTGCAATTTTCATGAGATCAAGGGGGTATAAAATTTGTTTTTATATTACTACAACCCCATTTGAAATAAGAAGTTACTTTTGAGTAAGACATCAATGCCACCAACATTCTACACTATTTATGCAATATGTGACGCCTGAGGATCAAGATTTGAACAAGAAACAAAGCTTTTTACAAATTTTCTATGACTTATGTATGTTATCAAACATAAAATGACATTAATTGGTTACTAACGCTTTCAAGAAACAACGAAAACTTACCGTTTTATATCCCATTATGCTTCTTGAAGTAGGGTCATCCCAAACAAGAAGCAGAACTCTTACACCTTCCTGTGCTTTGCTTTTCAGAAGATCTCCTAGGGAATACTGTGGTGCATCCGGAACCTCACGGACCAGTACCACTTTGTCCCATACCGACCATCCTGTGATGTAAATGAGCCGCTTGGCATTAGATATTGCATTAAATATGTCAATCCAACAAGTCCCATGAACATAGCGCATGCCATCACTAAGCTCAAAATCCGGGAGGCTTTCATGGGGTACGTGTGCATCTTGATAGAGAGTAACTCTCCCACCTTTCCTTAGAGGAAAATAAGTGCCAGGAACTCCGAGATACTGAGGACCAGCTCCAACTCCGTTGTTATAGAAACTCAATCTTGCCATTGGAATGTATTGCATTGTGAGTGCCAAACCAGCTCCATTCTTACAAGGCCTTCCATTTGCATTGATTAATGGAAAAATTCCTTCAATTTTTGATCCACAATATATATGTTCAACTGGGATTGCCACAGCTCCTATAAGTTGAGATCCCACGACGTCACTATCTTTGACAAGAAAATGAATTTCAGCAGTATGATGTGCAACAGGTACGCTAAAATGTTGATTCCAAACAGGATTCTCACTGTTGGTACGCACGTAAGTTCTTCCAACCACTGCACTCGTTATAGCAATGGAAACGTATGGGTCACTAGTTTGCTTTCCGGGTAATTTGTTAAAAACATCCCCCATTGTTTTATGAAACACATCCATGTTCGGAAGGTTCTTTGCCTCATGAACCCAAATATCAAGATTCCCATGTAAGAGCAGAACCTTCAAAGCCTTTTTGGGAGTCCCGTATGGCACGATCTGATAATTCTGACTATTTGCTAAATCTAACGAAGCTGTTTGGTGAATTGCAAGAATTTGAGATGAATCAAGTGAGCCGGTAGGAGAAGTGAATCCTGTGAAACTACTTGGATAAGAAGCACTGTGATGATGTCCAGGATAAGGAGGCCCAGATGCACCTGGTGCTGTTGATGGTGGTTCGTTCTCAGAAGGGTTAGAGTTACTCGTCGCATTATCATCTTCACGAGTAGTCCCACTAACACCACTTTCTTGACTATTTGGTTGAGTTGTTTCCCCAGGCTGTGGTGGTGACATTCCTGTGGGATAAGGATATCCGTATCCCGGATACTGATATCCGTATCCAGGTGGTGGTGGTGGTGGTGATTGGTATGGATATGGAAAGGGGCATGGAGGATATGGAGCTGAATTGGGAGGTGGGTATGGAGGATGATTGGAAGGGGATGGAAATGGGGAAGAATTGGGAGGTTGTCCATGTGGATTAGGATTATATGAAGATGACTGATTGTTATTGTTATCCATTCAACAACAATGCTGTATATATATATATATATGTGTGTGTATATATATACATACACATTCAATTAGGGTTCATCACTTTATTCATGTGCTATTACAATCACAAATGCCCAATTGGGTCAAGGTTTCATATGGATCTCTCTAATCATGTTCAATCTTCAAAACTACTCAAAAATTTGAAGACAAACATAGGGTTCTAAATTGGTATTTGTATCTAATAAAACCTAAGCTAAATAAATACGAAAAATACAGTTTAATTTGAGAAACGAATAGAAGAAAGAACAGAGATACCTTTGATTTGGAAGATCTTGATGGTGATGATGACAGATTGAAAGAAAAATATGGGTTAAAGAAAATGGGGGAAAAAGACGAGGACCCATGTGAAAAATTTTGCGATTATAACGCAAAATCTCCACCATTTTTCTTAAAGATTTCAAGTTTCTAAATGGGGTGATTTGAATTTTTGAGGGAAGACCCTAATTCATGAACTCCCAAATCCCAACGGTATTTCAACTATCCGGGTTTTTAATGACCCGCGGACCAGTAAGAAGCAGACATATTCTCATTTTAGAATGTTTTGGTTTGGTTTACACAAGAGTGTCTTACCAAAATGGAATTAACTTTTATCTGATTTTATTTTGGGCAATTAACTTTCAAAACCATCATTTAGGGATTTTTATCAAATTTTTTCTTTATTTAAGGATCTAGTTGATTTGTTAAACAGGTAATTTAAGAATCTATATCAAACTTTTGGTTTGATTTGCCAAATTTGATTTAAACTTTAATATTATACGGATTGGTTAGATATAAAATTTTTGAATGTGATATTTAATATTTATTTTTTATTGCATCAATTAATTTTTTTTATTAAATTGATTTTTTCATTGCATTAGTAAAAAACAGTTTTTATTGTGGTAATTTGGATTTTTTTTTGAAAAAATCTTCTATTTGATATCTAAATTTAAAAAAAAACAAGATTTGAAGTGAAAAATAGATTTTATTGCATTAATTTTTAAGAAAAAACGAATTTTAGTTATTTTTCTATAATTATTTTGCAATTTTAAATATGACGTGAAATATTAGTTTTAAAATAAAAAATTAATATGACATGGAATATCTTAGTTGGCAAAAAATAAGGATGATATCAACATTAACAGGTCAACCAGACCCTTAAATAAACAAAAAGTTTGATAGAGACTCCTAAATGACGATTTTGAAAGTTGGTTCCCTAAAATAGGAATCAGATGAAAGTTGGTTCCATTTTGGTGCAATTTTCCCTTTTCCCAACAATACATATGTGATAATAGTTGTTCAGTGTTTAGTAAGATAAAATTGTACAGAAAATAACAGAACAGGTAAATAAACAATTTACTCTATTGAGTTTTTTTTTAATATAATTTTGATTAATTTATGTGATTTATTAAATTATAAATAAAATGAATATTTTTATAATAAAATATATCATTATAAAGTTTTCGTAAAAACAGTTAAAAATGACACAAAAATGAAAAGTTTATGTAATTCTCATATAGAATCCAACACAACCCTATTGCTTGCATTAAACATTTCATGCGTGGAGGCTGGAGTCATAATGAGAGCCCGGCTTTCCCCAATAAAAGATTACTCTTCTCGCTCACAAAGCAGGTGACCAAGGCAGAGGACTGCAGGTCTCCCTCCAGGTATTTCTAAGTTATACCGGAGATTTGATTTAGGAGCGACCCATCATATGACTCCTAATAGCACATTTTTTACTTCTTTTGTACACCATCCTCAGCTATTTATATTCTTACAGCTAGTGGTGCTTTTGTTCATGTTCGTCAGGTTGGATCTCTGACTCGCTCTTCTGATCCATCTGGTCGTTTATCTCTTGATGCAGTATATCATGTTCCTCAGTTATCCTTAAGTTTCTTGTCTGTCGGTCAACTTGCTGATCTTGGTTATTACATTACTTTGACTTCATCTGGGTGTGTGGTGCAGGATCGGCACCCCGGGACGCAGATTGGGACCGGCCGTACCACTCAGGGTCGACATATAAGCCAACGGTCATAGTTACCAGCAGTCGGTTGTGTTACACTGGCCTGCTGAACCAAAGTATGTCTTGAGACTATATTAGTAAGTGTACCAGTATAGAACATTGACACCGTCGCGACCATTACATCCGAATAGGAGTCCACCCAAAAAAACCCGAAAATGAACTAATACAGCAAACCAGGGGGGTTCGATCGTCAATCTTCCAAAGTAAACCATACTTTTAGGAGAGCAGAGTTGGCGTCCTCCTTCTGGGCACGCCAATCTGTAGCTACTAAGGGCCTGAAAGGGCTTCTTCAATAGTAACATAATCCGAAGCCAGTACAGTATAGTACCACGACAATAGCTTTAACCATTGAAGTACCCAATACCTAAGCATCGTGAACTCTAAAAACTGCAAATCATCCTCAGACATTAAGTCTTCTGGTATGACTGTTAATTCCCTTGGTTTAAGCGGTGTACATAATAAAAAAAATAAGATGACCTTTAAGGTAAGGATTGAGAGGATCCCTTTATATTATTTTATTATTATTAATTTATATAAAAATAATATTTAGAGGACACTAAAGTGATGGTTTGAAATACATAAAGTACAATAAATAAAATTTAAAGAATAAATAAAATGTATAAAATGAGACGTAGTTGATGTTTTAGAAGAGAATTAGGTTTTATTAGCAAAATACATGTCTTTTACAATTTGTTGCTGGGTTGGGGTTGGGGTTGGAACATGCGTAACCATCTCTTCTATTATTTTCATATCTGTTCCATATGAAAATATTGTCAAACATGAAACAATGATTTTTGTGTTATCATTTCCAGTGTACCAAACACATGGTTTTAAAATTTTCAAACCCTATAGTTTGAAATGAAGTGTCCATACTGGTCAAATCAAACTAAAAAAATACAGTCTTGTGTAACACAGTTTAGATGTGTTTGATTTTAATTATGCAGTTTAAAGTTTAAACTATGAATTAATAGAATTAAATCATAATATATACACCTTACAAATGCAAGTAAAAATCAACATACTTCATAGTCCATACATCATACATACTTATAAATCAATAATCGGTAATCGGTAAATTTAAATATGTGATTCTTGAATTGGAAAAGCACTAAATTGGTAATTAGTAAATTAATATAAAATGATGAGATTGTGAACATAATTATATATATATATATATATATTATAAAGCATTTGATAAAAACTCTTAAAAACCATTTTTTATGCATGAAGTATATATTGATGCATATTACTTAAAATTCAAGATTACAAGTAAATTATGCATAACAACTTATTAAAGCATCATGTTTGAATTCGTGTAACTAACTGCAGACAAATATAATCAAATAGCGGATCAACATCTTATTTTAAAATATAATTAGGATAATTATCGAGTCCTAACAAAATAATTACTTATTATTTTTATAAGAAAATTATATTATTAAACCAAATATAAATTACTTCTTTATTGAACTTAAATTAAATTATAATTAAAAATTTGAATTAAAAAATTACATAAAAAATGATGAATTTTAAATAGTTAATTTGATACAAATATCGAAATATTTTTGTCAAATTTTTATGATATCTTCAAATGTATATTTTATTAAAAAACATAATTGTTTTTTTAAAAATCACATAAGACCATATTATAACATCGACTGAGATAAAAAATAAAATGAAATATTAAAATCAAGATGTATCTCGCTGCATTACGTGAGTACCCTTCTAGTATATATTATATACATAAGCGGTTCGATTGGTTTAAACCGTTGGTCGGTTGATATCTCACACCTTTAGACTTAATGAAATTGGGCCACAAAGCAAGTATACAATACGGCCCAGCGTCGTCTTTCCAAGTAATAAAGTGATACAAGTATCGGATTATCGTCCACAGAGATTGTAGCCAAAGTTAGATTATAGTCCAATGAAAGAGATGATTTCAGATGACGATTTTGAAGACTTTTGTTTGATTGTAAGGTGTGAAAACTTGAAAACTCAAGAACTTGAATTTTTCTCAAAAGGTGCTTTCAAAATCAGCCCTAACTAGCTGATTTTGATCTTGCATATATGTTATAAGGTGTGTCAAACATATGGCCAAGCCCCCCTATTTATACAAAAAGTCTTGCACAAAACAACAAAGCTATATAATCCACTAGTTAATGTCCAAAAACTAATAAAAGGGAATCCTAAGTACAAGATGACCTATTAATTCAAAAATCCCTGATTATAAAAATCTTCCAACTGGTATCTAGCTGTCGTCCATTCAACATCCAAAAGTCAGCAGCTTAATCATTAAGCCCTCGCAAAACCGTGCATGTAACAGGTGGTTGCTGCTGCAATGCTGTAGCATCAGGCTGTTTTAACAAAAATTCTCCGTTAGCTTGTATTTTTATGTCCCAACAAGTTAAACTACAATATTTTAGCTCCATAACAAAAGTATAAAGAAATAAATCAAAATGACTCAAAGTGAGAATGAAAGGAAACTAATTTTAACTAAAAAGACGTAAAACGGATGCATTATGTGTTGAATTCTCAACACATATCAACCGTCAAAAAACCCGCTCAAACGTAGATTACACCACCCGGTTTGACAATTTTCCAGGTCAGATCGGACCGCCAAACCGTCAAAAACAATCTGATTTGTTTAATCCGACTGATTTTTGTGATCCACTGATTTTATTGAGCACCCCTAACTTACACAATGATAAATTTCAGAGACATGTGTCCTCATAATACAACCACGTATTATCTTGAACAGCCTTATAATACCACGAACATGTTACTGATCATAATTCTCATCGGCCTAGGATCTTGGCAGCATGTGCATGATCATCAAGGAGCCTAATCACGAGCATTCTGATCACAAATATCGTATTGATTCTATATTCATACATTTATTCTAAAATCATGTATGTCTTAATCTTTAACAGTTCATTTGTTTAAACAGTCACGTTATCATTAAAAAATA